TGTCGCCGGCGCGCACCGACGACGGCCCAAGCCTCGTCACCTTTTGCCTTCCTCGTGGTACTAAATTTGAGGCCGAGTCGACCTAGGGGAGGGGAGGGGGTGGGCGATGGTCGTCAGCGATGTTGGCCGCGAGCGGGGATCGCCAAAGGCAAAGTATCCCCGCGTAGCCTTAACAGACTGTTGGGGCAAGTGCTGTTAGCGAGTAGCACCTACGAAGACAAAGACCCCCCGCGTAGCCTTAACAGACTGTTGGGGCAAGTGCTGTTAGCGAGTAGCACCTACGAAGGCCGCGCTACGGCACGCACGTTCATACGAGCAATTCAACGTGGACTCTTTTTACGCGCTCGCACGAACACACACACTCAATCATTCGCACGCACGCAACAAACTCGGACACATAAACACACGATGACTCGCGTACTTCATCACGCGCGCTCTCGTAAATATACAAAAATGAAGAAGATTCCCCCGTTTCGCCTTAAGTGTCCCCCCAGTGGCGATGTTTACACACCACGTCCTCCTTGAGGCTGAGTGGACCTAGGGGATGCCCAGGACCGGTTCAGGTGATCGCCGGTGGTGTTGGCCAGTGCTCCTAGCGCGGCACGCTCACGCGGACGCATACACGCATTCATAGACGCAGTGTGACACACCAACACACACGCACAGAGGAGACGCGATGGGGAGGAGGGTGGGGGGAATGGCTGTTTGAGAGCCGTGTTTGTCTCGAGGCTGATGGAATCTCATCCGCTCGGCTCGAGCGAGCTCCCAGCGAGAGGAGCTCCACGCGTATCTCTCACTGCCGGCAGAGAGCGCGACACTCACTCTGCACCCCCTCCTCACTCCCCCCCCTCACCCCCCCCCCTCACTCCCCCCTCACTCCCCCCCTCACTCCCCCCTCACTCCCCCCTCACCCCCCCCCCCCTCTCACTCCTCCTCCCCTGCCAGCTCGCCATTGCCTCCCCCCGGACCCCCCCCCGACTCCATCACTCCCCCCCCCCGACTCCATTACTCCCTGGCAATGTTACTCCATCACCTAATGCAGTGTTCTGCACTAAAGTTTTCCCCTATAAGACACTTTCCCCTATAAGACATCATCACTGTGAGGACCGTCACACATTTGAAACCATTGGGGGTTTGACAGCTTCACAATGACAATGATGGTGGGGGGGGGGGGTGTATTGTCAGAGGCCGCACTAGAGGCCATCATGGACTGCCCGTGGCCCCCATTCACTCCCTCGCTCCATCACTCCATGAATCCACCACTCCCCCGACTCCACCACTGCTCGGCTAACTTACCCCAGTGCCTACCTTCATCACCCCCTCGCTCCATCACTCCCTCGCTCCATCACTCCCTCGCTCCATCACTCCATGAATCCACCACTCCTCCAACTCCAACACTCCTCGGCTAACTTACCCCAGCGCCTACCTTCATCACGCCATCACTCCCTCGCTTCATCACTCGCTGCCTCCCATCGCTCGCTCCCATCGCTTGCCCCCCCCACCCCTCCTTCTCTTCCCCCCTTAATCGAAGCATGGCCGCCACTTTGGACACCTGCTGCTCCCTCACCAGGGCCCTGTTGAGCCTCGACAGGAATAAACACGCCGTGTTTACTCGCGCGCACCAGCTGCTACTGCTGCTGCCTGTTTATATTTAGACAATCGGCGTTGCGCGTCTGTGTGGGTTCCCAGAGCCCTCGCCAATAGCTTGCGTCCCAACGCAAGCCTCGGGCCAGGCTACTAATTGGTAGCGCGCGTCGTGAGCTAAACTCTAGCGGTGTAAGGATTTGTGTTTCGTAATTATTAATCGTGGTTTTGTCCCTGTGGGCACAGCGGAACGTGGTCGATGCGTCCCTGATAAGGGTTGCGTGAAGCGAAAGCATATCGCCGCACCCTCTGCGTTATAACGGGCACGCGTTCCGCGTTCTAACGGGTGTGCATTACGCGTTGTGCGAAAAGGGTTATTCCGAAAGGAAGAACCACGTTACAGCGAAAAACCGCGTTATAGCGAAAATCATTCCATCAATCCATCACTCTCCCGACTCCATCGAAAACCGTGTTTGAGTAAAACTGCGTTAAGCGAACACCACGTGTTAAGCGAGGACTTAACGTGATTACCAAATTTGGAAAATGAATTTACGTTGCGGCCTGTTGCGATTGGTGAGCCATCGATATTACTTCAGACATTTGCGAGACAAAGGCGGCCGGGCGTGGTGCTAGCCACACCACCCATTCACGTGTTGGGCCGAATTTTAATAGGAGCTCCTAGTAACAAAGACAAAGATCCCCCTTAAACATATTGTTGGGGCAAGTGCTGTTAGCAAGTAGCACCGATGAAGGCCAGCATGTCACACGAGGGGGTGGGTGGACAGCGTCACGCCCGGACGCCTTTGTCTCCCCAGTGGCGATGTTTACCCACCGCACTAGGTACTGATTTTAGACTGAGTCGACCTAGAGGAGGCCCAGGACCGGTTCAGATAACAGTCACTGGTGTTGGGCCGTAAGCGCGAATCGAACTCGGGACGCCGGGTTCGTAGCGCAGCGCGCTAACCGCTACACCACCGCTCCACCACGGCACACTCCACAATAACAATAACAACCACCATTCGCCACTAAGTGGCTGATTCGGAGTGAGACCTCTGCTGTTAGCTGGAGCCGGTCATAAGCAAACTGCCCAGGTATGGGAAACTCTCCACTCTCTCCACTACTGCCCCATCACCGATTGGGAGTTGTGGGGGTGGAGTGTCCGATGGTACAAAATATCCAGGCAGGTGCTTAGTTTTGGTGGGGCTGTAGGTAAGGCCCCACCTCTTAGTGGCACGCTCCAGTTTCAGCAGCAGCGTCTCCAACTCCTCCTCTGAATGAGCAGCTATTCCAAATCATCGGCATGCATAACGTGGTTGACCAATAGGGAGCCATCCCTTGATCGCACCCGGGCATCGATCAGCCTCCCATTATATCTGTACCAAATGGAAATTCCCCGGGACAGCTATTGAAGGCTTCACAAACTACGTGGTCAAAATAGATGTTAAATAATGTGGGAGCCAGAGGACATCCCTGTCGCACCCCAAGGTGTACAGGGAAAGGCTCTGACTCCCGGCCACGTAGTTTTACCCGGGCCCGCTCACCATCATGAAGGTCCTTAATGATCGTGAGCAGAGGGTCAGGGACTCCGAAAGCACGAAGAACAACCCAGAGCCCAGGCCTACTGATGGTATCATAGGCCTTGACCAGGTCAATAAAGCAGAGATGTAGGTCTTGTTGGAATTCCCTACACCTCTGCTGTAGCAGACGGACAGAAAATATGGCATCTGTGCAGGACCGCCCTTTCCTGAAACCGCATTGGGGCTCCGCAAGCCTCTCCTCAGCGTGCCTGGCAAGGCGATGTTGAATAATCCTTGCCAGGACCTTTCCCGGCACAGTGTGCCGGGAAAAGCACACTCCACACACACTCGCACACAGACGGGAGGGATGCTTTCAAACTGCAGCGGCTAGAAATCGAATTCCCCAAACAAACAGGGCTGCCCCCCGCCCCTGCCAGGCAGCTGCGTTCATTCCGGACGCAGCTTAATCCCCTCTCTCAAATAAACAACCAGCCCCAACCCCCTGGAGTTGTTATCTGTCAGCTGGAGCGCGATGACGCGGGGACCCCTCGTCCTCCGCCTGGTCTCGGCCCCCCCCCACACTGGCACCACGCCCCGGCCGCCGTGGTCGCCCGAGCGGCGTCGTCGCCGCTGTTTTGATTCGAAGCCGCGGTAGCGAGGAAATGATCTGCGCTCCGACGCTGCTGCCGCTGCTCTCGCCGTGTATGATTATTATCGTTATAGCCTGACCAGGAAACCATTCGTCATGCGGGATCCGAGGTGGGGGGGGGTGGAGGGGTCAGCCTTGGGCTGTGGGAGTGGGCCCTGACTCTCATTTCACGCGGGGCCCCGGTTTGGGCGATCGGGCCCCGAGCCTTGACGTGCGCTGACTCACTCAGCCACCGCACGGTGATGGTCGGTGGCCCTCTTAAGTCACTCGCTCCGTCGCTCGCCAGCTCCGCCACTCGCGAGCTCCGTCGCTCGTTAGCTCCGTCACTCGCGAGCTCCATCACTCATTAGCTCCGTCACTTGTTAGCTCCGTCACTCGCGAGCTCCGTCGCTCGCCAGCTCCGTCGCTCGTTAGCTCCGTCGCTCGCCAGCTTCGTCACACTCCATCGACCTTCCCACGACGCCTGTGTGTGGTCGTGATGAGTTTCCGATTTAAACACGTCGGATTTGCCAGGACTTTTTGGCGTTCCTCTGCTACTCGGTCATTCGCATTCCGTGCACGGACATCGCTTCGTCATTTACACGCCTGCAATCGGCACCGTGTGACCAGCACTGTGGAGGCAGCAGCGAGGGTTGGTGGATCACCACAGAGATGTTGGGGAACTTTCCTGCCGTGGGCATCGAGAAAGAGGAGTAGGAGCCCATACCCCAGGCTCTGCCAGGAGCAGGCGGCACAGCAAAACACGTGAACCCCGCCTGTTCCGTCTGTACGGGATCGGGCGTTTGCCCCCTCGCACGCGTGAGTTGTTTCCGAGTGAGTTCCTCTCTACCATGGTCGCACCGAGTTCCTCTCCCCGCGGTTGCACCCAGTTGCTCTCCACTGTAGTTGCACCCAGTTGCTCTCTCCTGTAGTTGCACCGAGTTGCTCTCCACTGAGGTTGCACCAAGTTCCTCTCTCCTGTAGTTGCACCGAGTTGCTCTCCACTGAGCGAGCACCCAGTTGCTCTCCACTGTGGTTGCACCGAGTTGCTCTCCACTGTAGTTGCACCCAGTTGCTCTCCACTGTAGTTGCACCCAGTTGCTCTCCACGGAGGTTGCACCGAGTTCCTCTCTCCTGTAGTTGCACCGAGTTCCTCTCTCCTGTAGTTGCACCGAGTTGCTCTCCACTGTGGTTGCACCAAGTTGCTCTCCCCTGCGGTTGCATTGAGTTGCGCTCTCTCTCTCTCCTTGTCTCCGCTGCGATCGCTGCAGACGTCCGACCGGGCAGCAGCAGCAGCAACAGCAGCAGCAGCAGCACGAGGAGGAGGCCCGTGGGGAGAGCGCGGCCACGGAGAGCGGCCACGGCGCGGCCCGAGAGGATCTGGCCCGGCGGCGTCATCCCCTACGTCATCGGCGGAAACTTCACCGGTGAGCAGGAGGGGAAGGTGGTGGTGGTGGTGAGGAACAGGGAAGGGGAGGGGGGGGGACCTTGTGGCAGAGGTCGCAAACGGGTTTTGATTCCTTACCCGTACCCGGCCGCACCCGTACCCTACCCGTACCCGGCCGCACCAGGGTCGCAAACGGGTACCCGTACCCGGCCGTACCCGTACCCTACCCGTACCCGGCCGGGTACGGGTAGGGTACGGGTATCGGGTACCCTATTGCGACATCTGGGATGAAGCCATGTTGCAGGCGTGGGTGGGTTGATTCTAGGAACTTGAATTGTGAGAAGAGACAAGACGTTGGGAAATGAGTGACAAACAGTTACTCACCAGTGACTCACGGTCTACCCGTACCCGTACCCGGCCGCACCACGGTCGCAAACGGGTACCCGTACCCGGCCGGGTACGGGTAGCCAGGTATCGGGTAGGGTACGGGTATCGGGTACCTGGTTGCGACCTCTGCCTTGTGGTACCGATGGCATCCGACGGCGTCCGACGGCGGAGGCCCTCTCGGTACCCGTGCGCCGCCACGCCTGGAGAGCCGGCGCTCGTGTCGGAGGCAGCCGGAGCGGGCGCAGCGATGGATTCGTGAATCTATCCGTGCGGAGCTCTGCCTTTTAAGCATGTCCCAGGACTTTCCCCCGAGCAGCATTTGCCGCCCCAACAGCCTGTTAAAGGCTATCTGGTGGATCTTTGTCTTTGTAAGGGTGTGTGACACGGGGTGTGAGTCAGCGTGTTATGTGTCAATGGGGGCGGTAGTGCAGTGAGATGTGGGGACAAGTCATTCTGTAACTGCAAGAACATAAACTGGCAGTCTTTTGTCTGTGTGACCACATGTATGTGTGTGGGGAGCGGTAATCGTAGTGGTAATAGTAGCAGTTAGCGCGCTGTGCTACGAACGTGCTGTTAGATTCAGAGTTCGATTCCCGCTCGTGGCCAACACCAGTGATGTTTATCTTGAACCGTCCTGGACCTCCCCGAGGTCGACTCAGCCTCAAATTAGTATCTGGTGCAGTGTGTAAACATGGGCACTTGGGAGACAAAAGGGCGTGGTGCTGGCCCTCGTGTGCCTTGCCGGGCTTCATAGCTGCTGCTCGCTAACAGCACTTGCACCGACAGTCTGCGTAGGCTACACGGGGGATCTTTGTCTCTGTGCGCATGCGCAGGGAGCCAGCGCGCGATGTTCAAGCAGGCGATGCGGCACTGGGAGCGCTTCACGTGCGTCACCTTCGTGGAGCGCAGCGAAGAGGAGAGCTACATCGTCTTCACCTACCGGCCGTGCGGGTGAGACTGCGCGACGACACGATACGACCGAGCTATGATGGGACCGAGCGATGACGTCACGGGACCGAGCGATGACGTCACGGGACCTATTGATGACATCACATAACCTATTGATGACGGGATAGGACCTATCCCTGCTCAAGAGAGTGTCGAAGCATTTGGGCTCGCCTCTCTACAGATGATGAGTCAACCCCCCCCCACCAACCATGAGTTGAACTTGTGGCCTCGCTTGGTCTGCCCTGGCCAGTGGCAAAAACGATGACGTCATGGGATGGCGGTGGTGGTGGCAATGGTGGTGGCAGTGGTGATAGTGGTGGCAACGGTGGTGATTGTGGCGGTGATGTTGATGATGGTGGTGATTGTGGCGGTGGTGATTGTGGCGGTGGTGATTGTGGCGGTGATGATGGCAGTGGTGATGATGATGATGGTGGCAGCGGTGGTGATTGTGGCGGTGATGATGGCGGTGGTGATGATGGTGGCGGCGGTGGCGATTGTGGCGGTGATGATGGCGGTGATGATGATGGTGTTGATGTTGGTGGCGGCGGTGGTGCCGTTGGCGGCAGTGTTGATGGAACGATGACACAACCGACCGGCGTGGTCACGTGACCAGCGAGGGGCAACCACAGCTGGAGAGGGGGGTGGTTGAGCGGGCGTGGATTGCATAACGTGCGGGCAGAGGGCAGGAATGGAACGAGATGTCTCGTGAGGAGGAGGAGGGGAGGGGCCCAGCGGGTGAAGACCCCCGGTGGCTCTCAGTTGATTAGAGCCACATTGTCACCACCCCCACTCCCTTCCCAGTACCAGAGCAGCGCCAATCACCCCCCCTTCCCACTTCTACCCCACCCCCCACCCCCAAGGGCCCCCCCCCAATCCTCTCGCAGTCGCTGACGAGAATAGCGGAGGCGGGGAGAGCGGTTACCCACAATTCCTTGCGCGCACGCAACGACAGGTGTGGCGAGTTAACTGTGATTGGTCGCCGCGGTGAGTTAGCTGTGATTAGTTATCTGTGGTTAGTAACTTTGGTTAGTTAACCGTGGCTAGCCACCATGGCGAGTTGGCGGTGGCTAGTTCAGTTTCAGTTTCATGTATGAGGTATAACCCCGTGAGTCATGCGGCTCTTGACTCGGGTGCAACCGCAACAAAACAAAAACATGAACAAGAAACATCTTAAAGTGACGCAATAGAAAAATCCAGAAAAAAACAGCAAAGTCTTCCAGTTAACCGTGGTTAGCAACTAACGGTGGGTGAGTTAACCGGCCGGGGTGGGTGGGGGGGTGTCCGTTCACAGCTGCTGCTCGTTTGTGGGCCGCATGGGCGACGGGCCGCAGGCCATCTCCATCGGGAAGAACTGCGACAAGTTCGGCATCGTGGTGCACGAGCTGGGCCACGTGATCGGCTTCTGGCACGAGCACACGCGGCCCGACCGCGACCACCACGTGGGCATCGTGCGCGAGAACATCCAACCCGGTGGGCCGTCGTCGGCGCCATTGTTATCGTCGTCATCATCATGATCATCATAGTCATTGTCATCATAATTTTCATTGTTAACATCATAGGCATTGTCATCGTCATCAGCATCATCGTCATTGTCATCATCGTTATTGTCATCGCCACCATCGTCATCATCATCATTGCCACCGTCATCATCATTTTCGACATTGTCGTCGTTATTGTTATCATCATCCTCGTCGTCATCATCAACATGACTATCAACATCATCGATCGTGTGGACGCAATCGGTATTGTGTTGGTGAACATCTGGCCTGATGGGCCATGGTCACCGCCATCACTCAACCTCGTCATTATCATCATGATCATTGACATCATCGTTACTGTTGGCATGATGGTCACGCCGGTAATGTGTGGGAAAAGATCCAGCCTGGACAACATCGTCAACATCACCACCATCACCAACAATGTCGTCATCTGTGTGTCGTCAGCATTGTCAGCGTTGTCATCTTTGCATTCCTCCTCGTCGCCGTCATGGTCAGAGTTATTATCTCTATCACCCAGATCATCATCATCATCATTTGTGCGACAAGCTTCATTGTAAGTCATTGTAATCATCATCATCATCATCATGGTCACCTCGTTAGGAATGTCTCCGTGTTGTCATGGTGGGGTTACAGGTCAGGAGGAGAACTTCCTGAAGATGGAGCCGGGAGAGGTGGACTCTCTGGACGAGTCGTACGACTTTGACAGCATCATGCACTACTCGCGCAACACCTTCTCCCGGTCAGTGTCAACCTCGCCCAGCACATCCACCATGTCCAACCACAAACCGCGTCCATCCTGTGCACCTCACACCGCATCCCGTCCACCACACACCACGTCCATCACGGACACACCATAACCGCACTCACCACACACACAGCCCACGATAACCGCCTCGCACGCCACAGCCACAAACCACACACACCGCTCACGCTACACACACACACACACCAGTGGCCTCCTTCCTGCCAGGGATCCTTCCACACTGCACGCGGTCCCACTTCGCGAGGGCTCAAGGTGCACCCAGCCTGGCGTCAACTTTGTGGTGACATCGCAGCCAATTCGTGGCATATTGCAGATGCCTCGCCCGTCGTGCTTTCTCCCCGTCCGTCGCGGATATGACCGTTCGCGCCGAATTTGATGAGCTAAAGTTCGCCAATCGCGCCCCGTGCCCTGCTCCGTGTGGGCACCTCGACCATTTTCGCGATTGCCCGCGAGATTCCAGTACAGTACGCATCGTAGAGAAGTGCTGTTGCAGGTACCCCCGCACTGCACTGCACTCGATGATGATGATGCTGCTGCTGCTGCCGCCGCGGAGGAAATACACGCGGTCGTCGTCTTGTCTCCATCTTGTCTCCCACGCAAACCCCAGCCCGGGCCGCACGGTGCTCCCAGGGTCACAGTGAAGTAGGCAGAGGGAAGGGTTAGGCAGCCCGCAATCTTTTCCTTTTCTCCTTTGTTGTTGTTCTATATATATTTTTTACTCCCACCAATTCTAAACGTTTACCGCGCAAATAAGAGTCGTATTTTACCTTGCGTTTCACGTTCAGGGTTAAAGTAGGGTAACGTAAAAACAAACGGGGAGAATGGTGGGTGTCGTGCTACAAATTGTGAACCAAACCCCCGAGTTTTTCCATTTGCGCTTCGAGTTTGCGAATCGCGGATTTGCCAATTGCGGAGAATTTCAAGAACGTAACCGGGCCTGTGAAGAGCATGTGGTTTTGGTGTATTTGTGCGTAAGTGTGGTGTACGTGTGTTTGTGCGTAAGCGTGGTGTACGTGTGTTTGTGCGTAAGCGTGGTGTACGTGTGTTTGTGCGTAAGCGTGGTGTACGTGTGTTTGTGCGTAAGCGTGGTGTACGTGTGTTTGTGCGTAAGCGTGGTGTACGTGTGTTTGCGCGTAAGCGTGGTGTACGTGTGTTTGCGCGTAAGTGTGGTGTACGTGTGTTTGTGCGTAAGTGTGGTGTACGTGTGTTTGTGCGTAAGTGTGGTGTACGTGTGTTTGTGCGTAAGTGTGGTGTACGTGTGTTTGTGCGTAAGTGTGTTGTACATGTGTTTGTGCGTAAGTGGGGTGTACGTGTGATTTTATGTATGGCACAGTGGTTAGCGCCCTGCGCTACAAACCCGGCGACCCACGTTCGAATCCCGCGGACAACCCAACAACAGTGGCTAATGCAGTATCTGAACCGGTCCTGGCCCTCGCCAAGGTCAACTTCAGCTTTGAAATGACGACCTGTCGCAGTGTGTAAACATCAGCCACGGCGGAGAGACAAATGCGGTCGGGCGTGGCGTTGGCCATCCACCCCCCTCGTGCGCCATGCCAGCCTTTGTAGGTACTCGTTGGCAGCACTTCCCTTAACAGCGTTGTCAAAGGCTATGTAAGGGACCTTTGCCTTTTGATTCTGTGCTTGTCTGCATGCGACTCCGCGTGTCTCCGTGTCTCCCGACGTGTCTCCGTATCTCTGTCTCCAAGTGTCTCCGCGTCTCCATGTGCGTGGCCCAAGTGTCCCAGCAGCCTTTTCGAGGCTACACGGACGTGTGGGATCATCGTATTTGTGGGATCATTGTCTGTGGGATCTCTGTCTCTGTGGTGTGTGTGTGTGTTTGGCAGGGGCATGTTCCTGGACACGATTCTGCCACGCAAGGACGAGTCCGGAGTGCGTCCGGCCATCGGCCAGCGAACGCGGCTCAGTAAAGGGGACATCGCGCAGGCCAACAAGCTCTACCGCTGCCTGGGTACGCACAACAACAACAATAACAACAGCAGCAACAACAACAACAGTAGCAGCTGCCTTTTCGCCACTAATTGGCGGTGACATCACCACGGCGCTTGTGCCAGGCCAGGTGCACTCCCAAGGCCACGTGGGAAGCCGATGGTCAGTGGGCAGATGAGATCCACGGTGTGTCGAGGACACGGGGCCCGCATCCGCTGTTCCGTCACCGTGTGATCCAGCAGATATTGTTGCTTGCGCCAGGCATGAATCCATAATGTTGTGTGGCTGTGCCGATGCCGGAACAGTGCGTCGGTAATTACAAGCCCATGGGCTGCACAGAAGTCTGGCAGCTTGCTACCGTTGTTATTGAGCTGCTCTGGCCCATACCTTCCAATGACTCCGGCCCAGGTGTCTACGTCATGACCCACTCAGGCATATTAAAATCACCCAACAGGAGGGTGACTCTGTCCTGGGGGGCCACTTTAGCTAGCACCTGGGACAAGAGGTTACGGAAGGCGTCTGACTCATCGGCCATGAGTATATAGTGCGGCGCATAGTTAACATCGGCACTCAAGAGTCAAAGGCGTTGGGCGTGGTGCTGGCCACCCACCCCCTCGTGTGCCGTGCCGGCCTTCATAGGTGCTCCTCGCCGGCCTTCATATGTGCTCCTCGCTAACAGCACTTGCCCCGACAGTCTGTAACGGCTATATGGGTGATCTTTGTATTTGTGCACGTGTGGAAACTCTGAGTGACGAGCAGAGTGCTCGCGAAGTGGTGGCAGCCGCTTACGGCGAACGACCCCCCCCCCTTCCCTCGCCAACGCTGTTGAAGCTTCGCCATTCTGGCTCGGATTGGCATCTCCCTTCGGTGCAGCTCACCCCCCAAGCCCCCCCCCTCCACCCCGCCCCATCCCCCCCAGCTGCCAACCACACGGTTTTGGGAAGCCTGGAATGTGAGAGCCCAAAGGACGCCAGAAAAGAACGTTCCCCCACACACGTGGGTACCCCCAGCACCACCAATAACGCCAGGCCCCACCAACAACGCCAGGCCTCAACAACAACGCCAGGCCTCAACAACAATACCAGAACCCAACAACAACGCCAGGACCCAACAACAACACCAGTCCCCAACAACAACAACGCCAGGCAACAACAACAACGCCAGGCGCCAACAACAACGCCAGGCCCCAACAACAACGCCAGGCACCAACAACAACGCCAGTCCCCAACAACAATGCCAGGCCCAAACAACAACAACGCCAGGCCCCAACAACAACGCCAGTCCCCAACAACAACGCCAGTCCCCAACAACAACGCCAGTCCCCAACAACAACGCCAGTCCCCAACAACAACGCCAGTCCCCAACAACAACGCCAGTCCCCAACAACAACGCCAGTCCCCACAACAATGCCAGGCCCAAACAACAACAACGCCAGGCCCCAACAACAACGCCAGTCCCCAACAACAACGCCAGTCCCCAACAACAACGCCGGGCCCCAACAACAACGCCAGTCCCCAACAACAACGCCGGGCCTCAACAACAACGCCGGGCCTCCACAACAACGCCAGGCCCCAACAACAACGCCAGGCCCCAACAACAACGCCGGGCCCCAACAACAACGCCAGGCCCCAACAACAACGCCAGTCCCCAACAACAACGCCGGGCCCCAACAACAACGCCGGGCCCCAACAACAACGCCGGGCCCCAACAACAACGCCAGGCCCCAACAACAACGCCGGGCCCCAACAACAACGCCGGGCCCCAACAACAACGCCAGGCCTCAACAACAACGCCGGGCCCCAACAACAACGCCGGGCCCCAACAACAACGCCGGGCCCCAACAACAACGCCGGGCCCCAACAACAACGCCAGGCCCCAACAACAACGCCAGGCCCCAACAACAACGCCGGGCCCCAACAACAACGCCAGGCCTCAACAACAACGCCGGGCCCCAACAACAACGCCGGACCCCAACAACAACGCCGGGCCTCAACAACAACGCCGGGCCCCAACAACAACGCCAGGCCCCAACAACAACGCCAGGCCCCAACAACAACGCCGGGCCCCAACAACAACGCCGGACCCCAACAACAACGCCGGACCCCAACAACAACGCCGGACCCCAACAACAACGCCGGACCCCAACAACAACGCCAGGCCTCAACAACAACGCCGGACCCCAACAACAACGCCAGGCCCCAACAACAACGCCGGGCCCCAACAACAACGCCGGGCCCCAACAACAACGCCAGGCCTCAACAACAACGCCGGGCCTCAACAACAACGCCAGTCCCCAACAACAACGCCGGGCCCCAACAACAACGCCAGTCCCCAACAACAACGCCGGGCCTCAACAACAACGCTGGGCCCCAACAACAACGCCGGGCCTCCACAACAACGCCAGGCCCCAACAACAACGCCAGTCCCCAACAACAACGCCGGGCCCCAACAACAACGCCAGGCCCCAACAACAACGCCAGTCCCCAACAACAACGACGGGCCCCAACAACAACGCCAGGCCCCAACAACAACGCCGGGCCCCAACAACAACGCCAGGCCCCAACAACAACGCCAGTCCCCAACAACAACGCCGGGCCCCAACAACAACGCCGGGCCCCAACAACAACGCCAGGCCCCAACAACAACGCCAGGCCCCAACAACAACGCCAGGCACCAACAACAACACCGGGCCCCAACAACAACGCCGGGCCCCAACAACAACGCCGGGCCCCAACAACAACGCCGGGCCTCAACAACAACGCCGGGCCCCAACAACAACGCCAGGCCCCAACAACAACGCCGGGCCCCAACAACAACGCCGGGCCCCAACAACAACGCCAGGCCCCAACAACAACGCCAGGCCTCAACAACAACGCCGGGCCCCAACAACAACGCCGGACCCCAACAACAACGCCGGACCCCAACAACAACGCCGGACCCCAACAACAACGCCGGACCCCAACAACAACGCCAGGCCTCAACAACAACGCCGGACCCCAACAACAACGCCAGGCCCCAACAACAACGCCAGGCCCCAACAACAACGCCGGGCCCCAACAACAACGCCGGACCCCAACAACAACGCCGGGCTCCAACAACAACGCCGGGCCCCAACAACAACGCCAGGCCCCAACAACAACGCCAGGCCTCAACAACAACGCCAGGCCTCAACAACAACGCCGGGCCCCAACAACAACGCCGGGCCCCAACAACAACGCCGGGCCCCAACAACAACGCCGGGCCCCAACAACAACGCCGGGCCTCAACAACAACGCCGGGCCTCAACAACAACGCCGGGCCTCAACAACAACGCCGGGCCCCAACAACAACGCCAGGCCCCAACAACAACACCAGGCCCCAACAACAACGCCGGGCCCCAACAACAACGCCAGGCCCCAACAACAACGCCGGGCCCCAACAACAACGCCGGGCCCCAACAACAACGCCGGGCCCCAACAACAACGCCGGGCCCCAACAACAACGCCGGGCCTCAACAACAACGCCGGGCCCCAACAACAACGCCGGGCCTCAACAACAACGCCGGGCCCCAACAACAACGCCAGGCCCCAACAACAACGCCAGGCCCCAACAACAACGCCGGGCCCCAACAACAACGCCGGGCCCCAACAACAACGCCGGGCCCCAACAACAACGCCGGGCCCCAACAACAACGCCGGGCCTCAACAACAACGCCGGGCCTCAACAACAACGCCAGGCCTCAACAACAACGCCAGGCCCCAACAACAACGCCAGGCCCCAACAACAACGCCAGGCCTCAACAACAACGCCAGGCCTCTACAAACAACGCCGGGCCCCAACAACAACGCCAGGCCTCAACAACAACGCCGGGCCCCAACAACAACGCCAGGCCCCAACAACAACGCCAGGCCCCAACAACAACGCCGGGCCCCAACAACAACGCCGGGCCTCAACAACAACGCCAGGCCTCAACAACAACGCCGGGCCCCAACAACAACGCCGGGCCCCAACAACAACGCCAGGCCCCAACAACAACGCCAGGCCTCAACAACAACGCCAGGCCTCAACAACAACGCCGGGCCCCAACAACAACGCCGGGCCCCAACAACAACGCCAGGCCCCAACAACAACGCCGGGCCTCAACAACAACGCCGGGCCCCAACAACAACGCCGGGCCCCAACAACAACGCCCGGCCCCAACAACAACGCCGGGCCCCAACAACAACGCCGGGCCTCAACAACAACGCCGGGCCCCAACAACAACGCCGGGCCCCAACAACAACGCCAGGCCCCAACAACAACGCCGGGCCCCAACAACAACGCCGGGCCCTAACAACAACGCCGGGCCCCAACAACAACGCCAGGCCCCAACAACACCACCAGGCGGCAACAACACCACCATGCGGCAACCACACCAGGCACCAATAATTCCAGGCCCCAACAACAATTCCAGGCCTCGACAACAACGCCAGGCCTAAAAAACACCAGGCCCCAAAACCGCCAGGCACCACCGTGTGACTGTGAGTGACTGTGACTGGCTGTGCCTCCCCGTGATGACTCTCCCCACCCCCACCTCCCTCTCTGTCGCTGTGTGTGCAGCGTGCGGGGAGACGCTGCAGGACATGACCGGGAATCTGTCATCCCCCGGTTACCCCAACGGGTACCCGTCCTACTCGCACTGCATCTGGAGGATCTCCGTCACCCCCGGCGAGAAGGTGACACCACTTCTCCACATCGTCACCGCTTGCACATCGTCACCTCCTCCACATCGTCACTCTTCCACGTCATCTCCTCCACATTACCACTCCTCCACTTCATCGCTCCTCCACATCTACACGTCTTCCACGCCATCAATTCTGTAGATCATCACTCAACCCCTCTCGCGTGATATTTCAACAATTCCGATGTGTCATCGCCGGATTCCTCCCCAGGTTAATGGCAGGGCTCGTGTTGGGGGTATAGGGATATAGTGTCAGTGATATGGCTGTAGTGTTGGAGCTGTAGTGTTGGCATTGCGGTGTTGGGGCTGCGGTGTTGGGGCTGCAGCGGGTGCTCCGTACTGACCGCGCTGCCCGCAGATCGTGCTCAACCTCACGGCGCTCGACCTCTACCGGAGCCGCCACTGCTGGTACGACTACGTGGAGGTGCGCGACGGATTCTGGAAGCAGGCGCCGCTCCTGGGTACGTGCCCCCTCTCCCCACCCATGCCCCCTTCCCCCCAACATCTCCCAGCATCACCGCCCCCTCCCCCTCCCCCCATCCCCTTACTCTAACCCTCCAAAGCAAATACCTCGCCTGGTATACAGGAGGTCATGGGTTCGATCCCGACCCTGACACCTGCTGCTGTAGATTTGCGGTTTGCGTGTCTCTCTCTCTCTGCCCAGTGGTCGTGTGGATTATTCTCCGGGTCCTCCGGTTTTTCCCTTCCATCGTTTAGCATCAACATCACTAACACGCATTTGGCTGCTATAAATGTCCACACGATGCGAAGCCACTTCGTTCAGCTGTCATTTGTGATAGCCAGGTCGCTTCTGAAAAAGAGCTACACAGCTCAGTGGTAAAATAAAAAAGTACACAGTCGGGGAATTGTAATGTTCACCTAACTTCTAACCCTAATTCCGTAACCCCATTCTCCAACCTTAACCCTAATCCCTACCCTTAATCCCTGTAATGCTAATCCATTAACGCTCATCCTCTAACCCCTATCCTCTGACTGAGTCCTCTAACCGTGGCACTGCCCCCCTGCCCTCTGTGCCCTGCAGGGAAGTTCTGTGGGGACCGTGTGCCCGGCACGCTCGTCTCCTCCGACAGCCGCCTCTGGATCGAGTTCCGCAGCAGCAGCAACTGGGTGGGCCGCGGCTTCTACGGCACCTACGAGGGTGAGCGTGCCCCCCCTTCTTCCTCCCCCCTTCAGAGTCCACCAGCTACTCCACCACCACTACCAGCAACACCAGTAGCCAGTACCAGGATCACCAGCATTCCTGGCACCACCAACAGCATCATCATCACTTCACCACCAGCACCACCACTACCACCACCAGCACTACCACCACTACCTCCAGCTGCAGTACCACTACCACCACCACCACTACCTCCAGCAGCACCACTACCACCACCAGCAGCACCACTACAATCGCGACTACCAGCAGAACCAGCAGCGGCACCACCACCAGCACCGCCGCTACCACCACCAGCACCACCACCAGCCACACAGTCCTGATCAGCAGCAGCGCCAGAAATAATTATCAAACAGAGTGGAAAGAGTGAGCTGTTGTTTGCTGGCGTCACAGTCAGAACCAGCCCACGCTATGCAAGTTACTCGCAGAAGATCTCACGGAGTAAAAAAAAACTGCATGGCAAGTCGTCGCCCCCCCTTCCCGCAAACTCCGCCCACCCGTGGCATGCAGCGGCAGCAGCAGCGGCGCCTCCCTTCGCGATAGCACCGCACCTGTAGGCATGGCGAGAACAACGACCGCACGAGTGCAGCTTTGCTTTCGTGTTTGACCTCGCTCGGTGAGACGGGGCGCAACCACCGTGGTGCTCACCCCCCGCGAGTGATGTCCCTTGCTCCTCCAGCGATCTGCGGCGGGGAGCTGCACAGGGACTCGGGCACCATCCAGTCGCCCAACTACCCCGACGACTACCGCCCCTCCAAGGAGTGCGTGTGGAAGATCGTGGTGCCCCAGGGCCACTCCGTGGGCCTCACCTTCCAGTCCTTCGAGGTGAGGACCTCACCCCTCGTCGCACCGGCCCTCTCAGTTCCCATTGCTCCCAGTCTCCCGTGCTCCCATGCTCCCTAATTCCCATGCTCCCTAGCTCCCATGCTTCCGTGTTCCCATGCTCCCTAGCTGCTGCCCTCCCCCGCCGTCGCGTGACACCTGCTGCCACCGTGCCCCACCCGCGCGCAGGTGACCTCGTCAAGGAGCATAAACTATCACGTGAGCTTTGGTCATCCTCGCAGCAGCGGCTTTTGGCTCGCCAAAGACGGCCGCCCTATCGCGCGCTTTCAGATGCGCTTCTGCGGCCGTCTGGAACGTTCTTTCTTCCGATATTACGAAGCCGCTGGGAGCTATGCACTTTCAAGTCTCGATTGGAAACTCATTTCTTAAAAACTGATTTTTGTGTCTAGCTTGTTGCCCTTCTCCCCCCCCCCCCCCCCCCCCCCAACGCCCGCACCTCTGTTGAGCACAGTTGGCTACGTACAGTGCGAAACAATTTCAACTGTACGTATGTGCGTACAGGTGGAGCGCCACGACACGTGCGCGTATGACTTCCTCGAGATCCGCGACGGCGACTCGGAGAACAGCAAGCTGGTGGGGCGCTACTGCGGCTACGACAGGCCAAGCGACGTGCGGTCGAGCAGCAACAAGCTGTGGATGAAGTTCGTCTCCGACGGGACCATCAACAAGGCCGGCTTCTCCGCCTCCTTCTTCAAGGGTGAGCGGCCGGCGCCGGTGGCCGGGGAGGAATCGGGGAACGGAGCGGGAGAGGGAGATGCGCCGTGTCGCTGCGGCCCTCGCGCTGCGTGAAGAGGGGAGAGCGGGCTTGCGGGGAGGAGCATGACAGCCGAAGGAAAACACTCGCCCAAACTCGAGCGCCGACGAGCGAGCCAATCGCCCACTTGTAGGAGGCCTACCCCTAACCCCAACCGGCCAATCACCAGCGGCTACCCCGAACCACCCACCCAGCCAATCAGCCTCTCGTGCTCGCTTTAACTAACGAGCCAGCCAGCCACCAATACTCGCCTTTCCCCGAACCCTTACAAACCAGCCGCAAGTACCAGCCCTGGCTCCTACGCACTCCCACCAAGCCAACCCCCGCTCTTGTTATCAGTCGCGAAACCTTAGAGGGGAACTAATGGAGGTGTCCGGTGTGAATGTGGAGTGTAAACGGTGAGTGGCGGTGTAGTGGTGGGCGTGATGGAGAGTGGCGTGGTGAGTGTGACGACGGTGGCGTGCCGTGCTGAGTGTGACTACGGCTATGGTGTGACGCCGATGGCGTGACGGCGCGTTGTGCTGCTGCTCCTGTTGTAGAGACGGACGAGTGCTTGCGCTCCGATCGCGGTGGCTGCGAGCAGCGCTGCATCAACTCCTTGGGCAGCTTCACGTGCGCCTGTGACCCCGGGTACGAGCTGGCACCCGACAAGAGGACTTGCCACGGTACACGGGCCCCGCCACCCATGCAGCGCCGCCATACGCCACCTGCACCACCACGTGCACCACCACGTGCACCACCACGTGCACCGCCACGTGCACCGCCACCTGCACCGCCACGTGCACCGCCACCTGCACCGTCACCGTGCACCACCCCGTGCGTGCCCGCTCACTCTTCCTGTGTCCCACTCCCGTCCCTCTCTCCTCTCTCTGAGCTCTCTCCTCCATCCCTCCTGCTCCCTCCTCCATCACAATACCCCCGACCCTACTACTTTACAATTCCCCCCAACCCCTGCCCCCCCAAACCGCTGAACCCTCCTCCTCCTTCCCACTGTTCCTTCCTCTTCCTCCCTGTTCCAAATGTCTAATGATCGTCGGTTCTAATGTATTAATGCTGCGCCGTGTGGTTCCGCGTTTTTTTTATGCCAATTAACATTTTGATATCGCAATCGAACAATTAACGTCAATGTGTGCGACTAATGCAAACATAACTTAACTTCGTGTGAATTAATCTTGGCGCCATAAGACGCGACGCTAATGCCACGCAACTGGATCGGAAAGTATCCTGACACCCATCACCTATCGCCATGGGAACCATCACCATTGAAACCAATCACCATGGAAACAATCGCTATGGGAATCCTCATCATCATAGAAAGCATCACCATGGGAATCCATACCCTGTGCACCCATCACCATGGTATACTGGCATCCATCTCCCGTGACCATGGCAAGCATACCCAAGTTCCCATCGCCCTGGCAATGATCGCTATGGCACCTTCATCACCCATCAGCCGGGCTCCCCATCACCCGGGCTCCATCACCCGGGCTCCCATCACCCACACTCCCTCTGCACCATCGCCATGGCGATGGCTGCCACGCTCCGCTACTAACCGAGTGGGTCCCCCATCCCCTGCCCCTCCCCAACCCTCCCCAACCCTCCCCGTGCCCCCTGCCCCCCCCACTCCCGCCCCCCCCTGCCCCCCACCGTGCACGGTGCAGCGGCGTGCGGGGGGCTGCTGACGAAGGCCAACGGGACGCTGACGAGCCCGGCGTGGCCGCGCGAGTACCCGCCCAGCAAGCACTGCGTGTGGCAGATCGTGGCGCCCACGCAGTACCGCATCTCGCTCAGCTTCGAGGCCTTCCACCTGGAGGGCAACGACGTGAGCCGTGACGCACGCACGCACAGATCCACCGGACCGTGGGGAGCAAGTGCTGGTAGCCAGTAGCACCTGTGACGGCTGGCACGGCGCACGAGGGGGTAGTGTGGCCGACGCTACGCCCCGGCCGCCTTCGATTAGCACGGTTGGCTACGTACGGTGCGAAAGAAGTTCAACGTACATGCACGCTGCATCCGGCCGAGCCGACCTAGAGGGGAGGGAGGGTGCACAGGACCCGTTCAATTGTTCCGCCACCGATATTGGATCGGTTTGTTTACGACGCGGGCCTCGCTAACCACCCGCTCGTGTGTGCGTGCGCGCCCAGGTGTGCAAGTACGACTACGTGGAGGTGCGCAGTGGCCTGTCGGCCGACTCAAAGCTGCACGGGAAGTTCTGCGGCAGCGAGGTCCCCTCGGTCATCACCTCGCAGTCCAACAGCCTCCGTGTCGTCTTCCACTCGGACAACTCCATGTCCAAGCAAGGCTTCAAGGCCTACTTCTTCTCTGGTCAGATGCGCGCATCCATCTACTCTCACCTCACTCAACAACAACAAACTCCATTCGCCACTAAGTGGCGGTGATGTCACTACGGCGCTTTTGCCAGGCTATGTGCACGTTAACGCCACGTGAAGTGTCGAACGCCCGCTAGCAGGAGGTCTGCCCCCGGCAACCCACTGCCTGGTTCAATTGCCCACTCGGGGTCTCCCCTGCCCAGTTCAATCCCCCTCTCCTGCGTCTGGCACCACCATCAGCACCACCAATACCAATCCCCGCCATTCGCCACTAAGTGATGGTGATATCACCACGGCGCCTGTGCCAGGCCAGGTGCACTTTCAGGCCACGTGAAGTGTCGAAGCCTTGCTGACGGGAGGTCACGGGACAGACCCAGGTGTCACTGGTCGACTGACTGAGATGAGTGGCCGATGCACCACCTGTGCCCCCTACTGTGCTAACTTGCTGTGTTTTAGCTGCTCGGCGCTCCACTCATTTCTTGTGTTGCTCCTCTGTCCTCCATTGTTGTTGGAGCGCGACTGCCTCCAACTGCCCAGTAGCATCCTTCACGAGCCTCCTCCACAGAGGCCGATCTTGACACCGCTGGTACCGGTCATCGGCAAGTCCACTCAGCTCCACATCCTCTTGTACCACATCACTCTCTTCTCTCGCCCGTGCCGTCCGTTTAGTTCCCTCTATGCGGCCGAACAAAAGCTGATTAGGCATGCGGTGGCTGGGCATACGGGCTACATGACCCAGCCACCGAACTCATTCACCTCATCCACCCACACTCACACCACCTACCTCACTCACTCATCCCTCTCACCTCGTCCACCCACTCACTCATTCATCTCCTCTCACCTCTCATCCACCTCACCCACCCACACCACCTCATCCACCCACTAACCTCAACCATCCACTCGTCCACTCCCTCACTTACCTATACTCGCTCACCTCGTCCATTCGCCCACCCACCCTCAAACCTCGTCTGCAGCGACCCTCACCGTCCACACCCACCTCGTCCACCCACCTTTAACTCATCCACACTCTAAACCGCTCACTTCGTTCATTCACCCTCACACCTCGTCCACCCACCCACCTCGTCCACCCACCCACCCACTCCTCATTTCTCCGTCTGCTACTTGGCTCGCATCGCTCCACTTGGGAATTTCATCTACGTCTTGTTCCCAAGGCTCTTTCAACAACCTCCTTGCTCAATGTAAGACACGGGGATCTTCGTCTTAGTACCTGGTGCGGTGTGTAAACATCGCCACTGGTGAGACAAAGGCGGCCGGGCGTGAGGCTGTCCACCCACCCCTTCGTGTCCCAGTGCCGGCCTTAATAGGCGCTGCTCAATAACAGCACTTGCCCCAAGTCTGTCAAGGCTATACGGCAAATCTTTGTACTTGCCTTTGTTGACCACACACGTGCACAAAGATAAAGATCCCCCGTTTAGCCTTAACAGACTGTAGGGGCAAGTGATGTTAGCGAGCACCTATGAAGGCAGGAACAGCATGCGAGAGGGGGTGGGTGGCCAGCACCACGCCCCACTGCCTTTGTCTCCCCAGTGGCGATGTTTACACACCGCACCAGGTACTCATTTTGAGGCTGAGTCGACCAGGACCGGTGCAGATAATCGTCACTGGTGTTGGCCGTGAGCGGGAATCGAACCCGCGTCGCCGGGTTTATAGCGCTAACCGCTACACTACCGCTTCCCACTACACACGCACAGTCACAGCTCGAGTGGACCGCACTGCCTCCGCATCTACCACACAGCCCAGGCACCTCCCTCGCACCTCGCATCCTCATCTCTGCCGCCCAAGGGCAGCGCGGTCGCAGAGAGGGGGCCACGCGTGGGACCCCGCTCGGCGGTAGGGGGCGCTGTCAAGGTCACATCCGGGAGGGGGGAGATTGTTGTCTGTGTGTGTGTCTGCGGTAGACAAGGACGAGTGTGCCAAGGATAATGGCGGCTGCCAGCACGAGTGCGTGAACACGGTGGGGAGCTACACGTGCCGCTGCCGCCAGGGATACTCGCTGCACCCCAACCTGCACGACTGCAAAGAGGGTGGGCATCGCTCCGCACCACCCATGCGAACCCTGACCCTCCAACCCTGACCCCCCCCCAATCCCAAGGAGGGAGACCCCCACCAAGTATACAGGAGGGCGTGGGTTCGATCCTGATCCTAACGCCTGCTGCTGTATATTTGGAGTTTGCGTCTCTCATCATCATCACTGTGGCTCGGAGATGTTAACTACCTCGCCTGGTGTTCAGGAGGTCGTGGGTTCGATCCCGACCCTGACGCCTGCTGCTGTATATTTGGATTTGGCGGCGTCTCTCTTCCCCCCGTGGTCGCGGGGATTTTTCTCCGGGTCCTGCGGTTTTTTCCCTCCAAACTTAAGACTCAACATCACCACGCGTTTAGAGTATTTGGCTGCTATGATTTCCCAAACAATAGGCCACTCTGTTGCTCTATCACTTTATGGCCAGATCGCCTATGAAAAAGAGCTGTATAGCTCAGTGTGGGCCTTAGCTGGTAAAATAAAAATGTAATTGTTTAAAAAAAAAGTGAATTGTTGTTTAACGCTAACCCCAATCCCAACGCTAACACAAAACCCTCTAACCCTGCCCCCTCCACCACCCCCGCAACCCACCCGTGGGTCCGGCTACCCATGCGCTTCACGCTCCGTGTGCAATGCCGCCCGTGTGCGTCTGGATCTCAAATGTCCTGTGTGCGCGGTTCATGTCCTACGCATTTCGTGTGTCACGCGTCACATGTCCCGTGTGACGTGCCCCCCCAGCCGGCTGCAAGCAGCGCGTGGACAGCGCGGAGGGAATCATCACGAGCCCCAACTGGCCGGACCGCTACCCGAGCCGCAAGGAGTGCACGTGGACCATCACCGCCACGCCCGGGCACCGCGTCAAACTGGTACCACGGCAGTTCTGCAGGCGGCGGCGGCACGAGCGCGGTCGCACTGATCGCGCCGGGATCGAGCGGCGTCACGGATTTCTAATGCGATCACGGCGTGAGCTCAGAATCGTGGATATCGCGCAATCTTGGCATGATCGCGGTGCGCTCTCAATCGCGCCGAGATCAGAGATCACGGTGAAATCAAGCCAAGATCACAATACCGTCACAGTGAAAACCTTTAGATCGCACTATTATGGTGAAATCACGGCAAGATCGTACTGCCGTAATGGTGAAATTACGCCGACATCATCGCACTGCGGTCACATCACATGACAATGCAGCCAAGCTCTCGCCTCGATCATGCCGGTAAATCCCATCACAACATTACACCCAGCTCACACCATGAAACCAAGACTTGTGACCCACTGTGGTTACAGACGCGATTGTGGTGGCTGTCGTTGTAGTGGTTGACGTCACTGCGGCTGTGGTTGCAGCCGCCTTGCTGTAGCTGCATTGTTGTGGTCGTGCAAATGTTGAAACGTACGTAGCCAACCGTGCGCATCGGAGGATGTTGTTGGTGTAGCTGTCGCGGTTGTGAATCTTTGGTTGCAGCTGCGTGTGGACATCTCGGTTGAGGGCTGTGTGGTTGTGATGGTCGATGCAAATCATGGGTCACGGTAGCTTCGTGGCGGTGATGACGATGACGACGGTGGTGGTGGTTGTGGTGGTGGTTGCGGCTCCAGGCGTTCAAGGAGTTCGAGGTGGAGCCGCACCAGGACTGCGCGTACGACCACGTGGAGGTGTTTGACGGCGAGAACTCTGTGGCGCCATCCCTCGGCCGCTTCTGCGGCATGCGGCGCCCGCTGCCCGTCGTCTCGTCGGGCAGCGCCATGCTGCTCAAGTTCTTCTCCGACGCCTCCAAGCAGCGCAAGGGCTTCCAGGCGACGCACTCCACCGGTGAGACGCACGCGCCGAGAGGGAGACACACACGGGGATGGACCCGCACGGGGATACACGTGGGCTCCATGTGCCTTTCCATATCTCCACGTCTCCCCATGACCTCCCCATCTCCCCGTGTGTGCGTTGACTCTCCCTAGCATCACCTCGTGTCTCTCCTGTAACCTCAACAACATGCTTCTCCCACATCTCTCCCCCCTGGACTCCCTGGTGGTCACTCTCCCCTGGGTCTCTCCCCCTTGGTCTCCCCGCGTCTCCCTAACATCACGTCTCTCCGCGTGGCCTACCCCCCCCCCGTGCTGCGGCGCTGCAGAGTGTGGCGGGCGCCTGCAGGCGACGGTGCGCACGCGCGACCTCTACTCGCACGCGCAGTTCGGCGACAACACGTACCCCGCGCAGGCCGACTGCGAGTGGCAGCTGTGGGCCGAGGGCGGCTACGGGGTGGAGCTCATCTTCCGCACGTTCGAGATGGAGGAGGACCAGGACTGCACCTACGACTTCCTCGAGGTGCTGGACGGCGTGGGCCCCGGCGCGAGGCCCCTCGCCCGCTACTGCGGCGCCGGCGTGAGTACCGCACCGCGGCGTCCACCCGGCACGAGTACCGCACCGCGGGTGTCCACCCGGCACGTCGCTCGGGGGCCTTCAGTTCAACGCGGAGGCTTCGGTCTCTCTGTGCTGTCGCCTGATGATGCTGGTTGCAATTGCTGGCGAAATGTCGTATTCGGATTGTAAATGTTGTGGATTTGATCTCCAACGCACATGGTGGTGCTGTAACTCGTAACGAATTGGCATGTTTTGTTTACGTGACAAACCTTACTAATTGGCTGTGTCCGCTGGTGGTGGGTTTAATGACATATTTACATTCATCTTCTTGGTTCTTTCGGTAAAGTCACGTAGAAGGGAAATAATAAAATAATAAAAATAAAACATAATAAAATAATTATCACGACGTTTCGGCCACAACGTAAGCAGCCGTCCTCAGGTGAAGAACAGGTATTGTGGTCAATGCAAACATGACTCCTTGTAAAAAAAAGTGTCAGTTTTGTTGCCAGATAAAAGGGTAAAAAACTATTTTTTATATTATTTTGCTCCTGGCCAAGGAGGTTCCCAATGGTGTAAATGCTTTACCCCGAGCTCTCATACTCTGATGGTGCATTGTCTTTGAGTTGTGCACCTTTTGGCGTCATCTGGTTCAACACCATGTGAGACTAGGCTCTAAGAAAAGCTCTCGGGTGTGGACCAATCAATTTCGCAAACAGTGCATACATTATCAGAGTTGTGTTTTTTGTTTGCATTCCGACCGCAGGTATTGTGGTCAATGCAAACATGACTCCTTGTAAAAAAAAGGTGTCAGTTTTGTTGCCAGATAAAAGGGTAAAAAAAAAAACAATTATGTGCGTAAGAAGTTCAACATACACACACACATTCGGACTTTCGCTCCAACCTTCATGCAATCACCTTACACCCTCGCTGCACCTTGCAGGGCCTGACAGGCGCCACTGCCCATCTCATCCCGTACATTTTAAAAGAGCGTCTCAGAACGTACGCGTGGGTGGAGAGCGTGAATTTGGAGCGCCGACGTAGATTACGAGCGCTGAATGAGTGCGGGCGGCATCACGACTGCCGTCAGCTGTGGCAAGAGAGACGTCCAGTGGATGAGCTCCAATTTGAGCATGCGAGTGGCAGTGTGACTTTGGTGGTGACAAGACTGCGGGGGCCAGAATCATTCCCCCCCCCACTCCCTCCCCCCGCCCACAGCCCACGGAGCCGGTGTACAGCACGGGGGACAAGTTGGTGCTCCGCTTCCACTCGGACGACTCGATCAACAAGAAGGGCTTCCACCTGCGCTTCACCAGCACCGGCTTCCAGGACGCCCTGCAGGAGGAGCAATAGCACCCCTGAGCTCCCCCCCACCCCACCCCCACCTCCAGCCTCTGCCCCCTGCCCCCCCCATCCACCCTTAGCCCCCCACGAGCGTCCCCCAGGCTGGCGCGAGCCTTTCCACGAACTGCTCAGTCGCACTTCTCCGCCGACGTTTGTAAGAGGAGGTTTTTTTTTTTCCCCCCCCTGTGGATTTTAACCCAGCATCCTCATCGCCCCCCCCATCGCTCCCCCATCTCCCCTTCGTGTGCGTCGGGTTGTTGTAAGCCGCTCCCATTCCTGTCAGAGCGCTGTAGTCGTCCGTGCAGGGAGGCCTGCCGCTGTTTGTGAATGACGTCGTGCGGTGTGGCCGCCTCTGTACGGTGTGGCCGGGGCTGTGCAAAAGACAACAGCAAATCCGCTCCTATGCAACACGGGGAAGCGTTGCCATATACAGCGATCGCCTATTATCCGTCTACCTGTCGACCCGTCTACCTGGCTGAGCTGTGCCTTATGAGTAAATGGGACGAACGCCATGACCCTTGTTGTTGTCCGATAACGCGGGGGAAACAAGACGGGAGGGGGACCTCGTATAAATATTTTTGTTGTAACCAACTCGTCGTGTCAGAGGAATTGGCGCACGATGTATGGTGTCGGGCGTGACCTTGTGATCACGCACCTGCGGTCATCAGGGCCAGGTGTGCATGCGAGTCTGTCTGTGTGCATGCGTGCATGTCCGTCTGTATGCCTGTGTGCGTCCACGTGCGATTAGTTACCAAAAGGTACAGGGCAGCCGCAGAAGGGAGCGGTGGAGACGGTGCCATACCGATGAGTCCTGATGAGGTTGAAACCGGTTGACGGCCATCTCTCGGTTTCTGCTGCTGCCCGTTCTCCGTGTCGGTGCTCTGACTAAACGTCGCCACGGCCACGCGTTCAGCTCTTTTTGAGTTTGTGTTCTGGACAAGGCTGAGATGATTTGTGCCTTTCCCTGCTCTTTGTGCGTACACCCTCCGCGTGTCGCGAAGTCTTCGCCACTCCTCCGGGAGCCGCTCCCTGGGAGAGGGGCGAGGACTCTCTCTTTACCTGTTCTACGTTAACCGCCCTGTGAATTGCACTCACCGCGTGGGAACCAAAAACACACCACGGGATCAACGGAATAAATGTGAATCTTTCTTCCCCCCCCCCTTCAATGATAAGTGGTACGGTCCGAACGGTAACCTCCACAACCTGAGTTGCATTCGGTCCACCGGTACCGGACTTCACCATTCCACACGGTGGCGGCGTGGGGGTAGTTGGCAGGGCAGGTGACCTCAAACCAGCACTTGCAACGGCGCCCACAACACACTGAGCTCCAGTTTGTGCCGCGCGGTGTAAACAGCGGAGAGACCGGGGGACGCCAATCACGGGTGGGGGGAGGAGGGGGGGGGTGAGCGAACCTGAAAAACCGTGCGGGGTGTGGGAGGTTTTGCTGGCACTGGGCAGAGCGCAGTCCGACGACTCCTGGTCGTGTTGCCAGTGCCGCACAAGCTATACCGTACCGCAGAGCGGCCTTACCCCGAGCGAGCGCCGTTCACACCTAGGCTGCCATCAACACACCAGCGCTGTCACCGAGCGAGCGCCGTTGCCATGGGGACCGTTTCCCTGGGCGCCATCGCCACGGTGACCACGCTCCGCTCCCTGCTCCAACGACGATACCGGTTTCCGATGCGTTGACGTATCTGGAGGGGGTGGGGTGGGGGGCAATCTGCAGGCAACGCGAGAGGCGAGCGAGGAAGAGGAGAGACCTTGAAAAGGGAAAGCAGAGCCACTATTTATTTGTCTAACGCGTTTACACAGAACTCGTGAACGGATACAATCAACGACCGCGTTTTTCGTGATCGGAGGAAGGTGGGGTGGTGGTGGTGGTAGCGGTCGAGGGGGGTGGGGGGGGGGTTAGGTGGGGAGCGAAGTCTGGTACTTGCTGGAAACCCGGAGGCATCCCTCGCTGTTACTGGAGCCAGTTCACGGGCTCACCAACTCCCCCCACCCCGAGTTCAGGGATCGAGACGACGGAGACCGAGCGTTGGCACGGCCGTGGCAGCGCTCGCACGATGACTGCACGCGGAGCGACACTTTACGACCCCACCCCACCCCGCCCCCTCAGCGCGCAATGCACGCCCCTCGACGTGGAACGAACAGAAACCACCTTCGGTTAAATTCATTAAAGTCAATTTTTAAAACGACACCGACCGGCGCTTCTTCACTCTGCGTGTGAACCTCTCTGGCCGGCGGAACGATCGCCGTGTTCTAACCGTCGGGACCTGGCGCGTGGGGAGGTGTGGGTGGTGGGGGGGGGGGGGGGCAGATGGGGTGCGGGCATGCACAGCATTGGGGACGTGAGGGGGTACAGGGTTCACCGCAGGCCACGCGCTGTCGCCAACGTCTCCCGGCGTGCGTTCTCTCCGAGAAGCGCCAACACGTTAAATAACCTCCGACTCGGCCCGATCTGCGCGGCCTTTCTCACCACCAGGACATCATTGCACGGGGGGGGAGGGGGGGAGCAGAAGGAAACAAACACACAACTCCACAAATTATAAAGTGACACAACCACGTGATTATATTATAATAATACTGCACACCTACAGCAACACTCCACGAATACAACAACAACAGTGGCAGCGGCGGTAGCAGCCACCACCCACCACGACCACGCGGGGGCAAGGGGGCATTTCGGTTCCATCTCCCATCACGTTGCATTCACAGCGAACGCGGCCAGAGCACGCGCAGATTCCCCACAGCGACCTCCCCCCCCCCCCCCCCCACGGGATACAGGGATAGCGGTCCCCCTTGACAGGTCCACCCCCTTGACAGATGGTCCTCCTACGATTGGCCCGCCCATACTGGACATGACCGTGATAATGAGAGCGTCACCGCCCATGGGATTCCTCCTCCTGCAGTCTCTAAATAAAAGATTCCGATTTCGGATTTGACAGGACCGGTCCGACACGCAGTTAACTCGCGTGGAAAATCTGACCCAGATATTAAATCATGAAACGAGAGGTCCCTGCCAAGTATTGAGTACCTACCCCCCCTCTGATGTGGCTGACGAGTCTCCTTTGACTGACAGAGGGGGGGGTGGGTCCATTTGGACAGGCAGTTCTCGCTGGGGCTGGAACCCCCTTGCACTTAAATCGGTTCCCATGGATAGAGGAATGCCTTTTGAGAGGGGGAATTCCGGAACAGAGACAGGACAGAGGTCCCATTGGCAATAGAGGACCTCTCGCACCTTGGATAAAGGGGGGGAGGGGAGGGGGGGTTCTTCTCTCCCCTGGGACCCTCTGAAATGACGACGTTCAACCCCCTCGCCAACGCGCGCTCGCTCTGCAAGCGAGCAAAGATTCGCGAAAGCACGCACAACAACACCCCGTCGTTCCACGTCGCCGCGCTTAGCATCGCCAACGCGGTTTACACTTCGGGGGGGGGGGGTGGGGGGGGTGTGTGGGGGGGGGTGAAAGGAAACAAGCAGTGGGGGGCTGGGTGGGTGGGGGGGGGTACACACAGTGGCCGTTCCGCGTCCTGGCTGTGTCTCAGAAGTTGAGCGTCTCGGACATCATCTTCCACCACGTGAGCATCTCCTCCTTCTCCTCCTCGCGGTGCGCGTTGGACGTCAGGTCGAAGTTCAGCTGTGCGGGGAGGGGGGAGGGGGCAACGGATAGAGGAGGTCGCTCCAAGACCACGACCGCTGGCTCACCACGCATCACTAATGCAGCTACGTCATCGCCGCCGCGTCATCATCATCACCACAACGTCATCACCACCATGTCATCATCACCAACACATCACCATATCATCATCACCACTGCGTCATCATCATCACCACTGCGTCATCATCATCACCTCTACGTCATCATCATCACCTCTACGTCATCATCACCTCTACGTCATCATCACCACTACGTCATCACCACCACGTCGTCATCACCACCACGTCGTCATCACCACCACGTCGTCATCACCACCACCACGTCATCACCACCACCACTACGTCATCATCACCACCACTACGTCATCACCACCACCACGTCATCACCACCACCACTACGTCATCACCACCACCACTACATCATCACCACGTCGTCATCACCACCACCACGTCATCACCACCACCAACTACGTCACCATCACCTCTACGTCATCATCACCTCTACGTCATCATCACCACTACGTCATCACCACCACGTCGTCATCACCACCACGTCGTCACCACCACCACGTCGTCATCACCACCACCACGTCGTCACCACCACGTCATCATCACCACCGCGTCGTCATCACCACCACGTCGTCGTCACCACCACCACGTCGTCGTCACCACCACCACGTCGTCACCACCACCACGTCGTCACCACCACCACGTCGTCACCACCACCACGTCGTCATCACCACCACGTCGTCATCACCACCACGTCGTCATCACCACCACGTCATCATCACCACCGCGTCGTCATCACCACCGCGTCGTCATCACCACCACCACGTCGTCACCACCACCACGTCGTCACCACCACCACGTCGTCATCACCACCACGTCGTCACCACCACCACGTCGTCATCACCACCACGTCATCACCACCACCACGTCGTCACCACCACCACGTCGTCACCACCACCACGTCGTCACCACCACCACGTCGTCACCACCACGTCATCATCACCACCGCGTCGTCATCACCACCACGTCGTCATCACCACCACGTCGTCATCACCACCACGTCGTCATCACCACCACGTCGTCATCACCACCACGTCGTCATCACCACCACGTCGTCATCATCATCACCACTACGTCATCATCACCACCAAAACCCGGAGTGGGGGGCCGCTTGCCTTGGTGGGGGGGCTGTAAGCGACCGCCACCTTCTTGGTGACGCTCTGGAAGCCCGGCGCCGACGCCGTCACCTGGTAGTCCCCGGGCACCAGCAGGCGCCAGTAGTCACCGTCCCTCGCTGCGCACACACAAAGGCAAAGGTCTCCCATATAGCCTCAACAAGCTTTTTGGGGCAAGTGCTGTTCGCGAGCACCTATGAAAGCCGGGGCGGTGTCCAACCGCCTTTGTCTGCCTAGTGGCGATGTTTACACACTGCACCAGGTACTCATTTCAGGCCGAGTCAACCTAGGGGAGGCTCAACACCGGTTCAAATATTCGCCACCGGTGTTGACCGTGAGCGGGAATCGAACCCGGTTCGCCACGTTCGTAGCACAGCGCGAACCGCTGCGCCACCGCTCCTGAACACACACATGGGACACGACATGTGCGACTCGTTTACACGTGGCAACGAGTCGTCCCGGCACATGCACGGCGCAAGCGTCAGACCAAGCGTGTGGCGGGCGGTCTCCTGCCAACAAGCGTACGCCAACGCCCGCTTCCGCTCACCGCCCCCGCCCCTCGTCAAGAGACACGTGGGCGAGGAGGGCGCCTACCGGTGGTGATGTCGTGAGCGATGCCCTTGACGGAGATGGTTGCGTTGGCGATGGCGCGCTCGTTCTCATCGCGCACCAGCCCCTTGATCCCACGGTGCACCTGGGCACCGGCAAGGGTGGGGGGGGAGGGCAGTGAAGAGTGAGAGAAGGGAGAGGGGAGTGGAGAGCGAAGGAGAGAGGGGAGCGAGTGGGGAGCGAGTGGGGAGCGAGTGGGGAGCGAGTGGGGAGCGAGTGAGGAACGAGTGGGGAGCGAGTGAGGAGCGAGTGGGGAGCGAGTGGGGAGCGAGTGGGAGCGAGTGGGGAGCGAGTGGGGAGCGAGTGGGGAGCGAGTGGGGAGCGAGTGGGGAGCGAGTGGGGAGCGAGTGGGGAGCGAGTGGGGAGCGAGTGGGAAGCGAGTGGGGAGCGAGTGGGGAGCGAGTGGGGAGCGAGTGGGGAGCGAGTGGGGAGCGAGTGGGGAGCGAGTGAGGAGCGAGTGGGGAGCGAGTGGGGAGCGAGTGAGGAGCGAGTGGGGAGCGAGTGGGGAGCGAGTGGGGAGCGAGTGGAGAGCGAGTGAGGAGCGAGTGGGGAGCGAGTGGGGAGCGAGTGGGGAGCGAGTGGGCAGCGAGTGGGGAGGGCGGTGCATGGCACCACCTGCTGTATGTAGCTGACGAGTGAGTGGAGTGAGTGGAGAGTGAGTGGGGAGTGAGTGGGGAGTGAGTGTAGAGTGAGTGGGGAGTGAGTGTAGTGTGAGTGAGTGTAGAGTGAGTGTAGAGTGAGTGAGTGAGAGAGTGGTGCGTGGCACCACCTGCTGTAAGCTGACGAGCGAGTGGAGTGAGTGTGAGTGAGTGAGTGAGCGGTGCATGGCACCACCTGCTGTATGTAGCTGACGAGCGAGTGGAGTGAGTGTGAGTGAGTGTGAGTGTGTGTGAGTGAGTGTAGAGTGAGTAAGTGTAGAGTGAGTGTAGAGTGAGTAGAGTGAGTGAGTGAGTGTGAGTGGAGTGAGTGAGCGGTGCATGGCACCACCTGCTGTATGTAGCTGATGAGCGAGTGGAGTGAGGAGTGAGTGGAGAGCTAGTGAGTGAGGAGTGAATGTGAGTGAGTGTGAGTGAGTGTAGAGTGAGTAGAGCGAGTGAGTGAGTGTGAGTGGAGTGAGTGAGTGAGCGGTGCGTGGCACCACCTGCTGTACGTAGCTGACGAGCGAGTGGAGTGTGAGTGAGTGGAGAGTGAGTGAGTGGAGAGTGAGTGTGAGTGAGTGAGTGTGAGTGGAGTGTGAGTGAGTGGAGAGTGAGTGAGTGGAGAGTGAGTGTGAGTGAGTGTGAGTGGAGTGTGAGTGTGAGGTGCGTGGCACCACCTGCTGTATGTAGCTGACGAGCGAGTGGAGTGTGAGTGAGTGGAGTGTGAGTGAGTGGAGAGTGAGTGGAGTGTGAGTGGAGTGTGAGTGAGTGTGAGTGGAGTGTGAGTGTGAGCGGTGCGTGGCACCACCTGCTGTATGTAGCTGACGAGCGAGTGGAGTGTGAGTGAGTGGAGAGTGAGTGAGTGGAGAGTGAGTGTGAGCGAGTGAGTGGAGTGAGTGTGAGTGTGAGCGGTGCGTGGCACCACCTGCTGTATGTAGCTGACGAGCGAGTGGAGTGTGAGTGAGTGGAGAGTGAGTGAGTGTGAGTGAGTGTGAGTGAGTGTGAGTGGAGTGTGAGTGTGAGCGGTGCGTGGCACCACCTGCTGTATGTAGCTGACGAGCGAGTGGAGTGTGAGTGAGTGGAGAGTGAGTGTGAGTGAGTGTGAGTGGAGTGTGAGTGGAGTGAGTGAGCGTTGCGTGGCACCACCTGCTGTATGTAGCTCACGAGCGAGTCGCGGTTCTCGCGCCAGTAGCGGCGCAGTTCCCGCTCCGCCGGGAACTTCTCGCAGCTCAGCTCCAGCGTGATCTCAAAGCAGTTGCTGCTCAGGTAGTTGAAGTCCTGCATGCCTGCACACGCAGCATGGTGTGGTGGAGGGGTTCACGGGGGGGGGGGGCAGCATGGGAGGGGGCAGGACGATGGGGAGGCAGGGAAGGGGGGCGGATCAGCAGGACAACAACAGCAATGTATGAAAAACAAGGGTAGTTTGTTACCTTTTCCGGCAATGTAAAGATGTTCAATCACCAAGTAGATCCTTTTTTGAAGGAATTAAGTCTGGATTAATCGCACGTGGCTGTGGCAAAATGTGCAAACAGACAGGCTCCGATGGTTTAATTAATGTAAGCATTTGTCTTTGAAACTGATTGGCCCACACCAGAAATAGCCTTCTTTACGGTCTTGTCCCATCGACAACAACAATAACAACAACAACGTTCGCCATTCACCACTGAGGTGAGGGGGCAAGGCGATGGACGAGCGAGGAGCGGGTGAGGCTCGGGTGAGGGGCCGGCGACGATGATGACGATGATGGCGATGATGGCGACGAGGATTGCGACGATGATGGCGACGATGATGGCGACGATGATTGCGACGACGACGACGACGATGCGTGCGAAGCAGCTCATGGCAGGCGAGGGAGAGGAACAGGCCAAGCAGCAGGGGAGAGTGTCTGCTGCGAGTGCGGGGGGGGGTGAAGGGGGCAGGGGTGACGCACCTCCCGGCACGCTGTACCACGCCGCGCCGTTGGTGGTGCCGTTGACGAAGCGTTCGTCCCCCTCCATGTCGCAGGGCGGGCGCCGCAGGTTGGACATGACCGGGTGCGGCAGGGAGTAGGCGAGCGCCAGGCTCTTGAAGACCACGTCGTCCGGGCAGGCCGTGTACTGCTGGTCGGTGCCTGTGGGGCGCCGGCGGCAAAGACAAAGATCCCACACCACCCGTGTAGCCTTAACAGACCGTTCGGGCAAGTGCTCTTAGGAATCAGAGGGCTTTTAAAAGTATAAGTGCGTCGTTAAACCCGCCACCACGCGACATAGCCAATTAGTAAGGTTTGTCACGTCAACAAAATGTGCCAATTAGTTACTAGTACAGCACACCGGTGTGTTGGAGTATAACCAGCTACCACGTTTTGTCGTCCTTCCCCCGTGTGCCCCCCCCCGTGTCCCCCCCCTCCTGTGTCCACCCCCCGTGTCTCCCCCCCCCTCCGTGTCTCCCCCCCCCTCCGTGTCTCCCCCCCCCCCCCGTGTTTTCCCCCCCACCCCCATGTCTCCCTCCCCGGCGTGTCCCCTCGACCCACCGTGTCCGCCTCCCGTATCTCCCCCCCCACCCCGTGCCTCACCCGTGCGTGTCTCGTCGTACGGGTAGTTGGCCACGATGTCTCCTCCGTGCAGGTTTGCCGACAGCACGAACGGCACGTCCATGATCCAGTGGATCATCGCCTTGGTCTCGGGCGCCATCTGTGCCACGACCGCGACACAGGGTGGCACGGAGGGGATGTGGGATGAGTGGCCGTGTGGTTATGAAAACTATTTTTAGTTTACCAGGTGTGGACCCCACCGAGCTATGGAGCTTTTATTTTTCAGGAGCGACCTGGCCACAAACGATGTGGCTCATCGCGTGGAAATGTGTCGCAGGAAAATACTCGGAACGCACGTCGTTAATTCTAAATGTGGAGTAAAAAACCCAGAAAAATCCACGCGTCCACGTTGGGGTCGGGATCGTACCCACGACCTCCTGCATACCAGGCGAGGAAGTTGACATCTGCTAGCCACCGTTGTTATGAGAGGAGTGGGTATGCGGGTGTGGGTGCAATGGTGAGCGGGGTGTGTGGCTGCAAGGTGAGGAGTGGGCACTCTATATGGCTACGGGAAGCGTGGGTGTGCAGGAGAGTGGGGGTGTGGGATGAGTGTGAATGTGTGGCGGTGCTAATGGAGTGATGTGGTACAGGAGGACGTGGAGTTGAGTGGACTTGCTGATGACTGGTACTAGCGGTGTCAAGATCGGCCTCAGTGGGGGAGGCTCGTGAAGGACGCTACTGGGCAGTAGCGTTCTTCACGGGTGGAGGAGTGACGCTCACAACAACGAGCGGAGCGCCGGGTGGCTAAAGCACAGCAAGTTGGCACAGTAGGAGGCACAGGTGGTGCATCAGCCAGTCATCTCAGTCAGTCGACCCGTGGCACCTGGGTCTACCCCGTGACCTCCTGCCAGCGGGCGTTCGACACTCCACGTGGCCTCAAGGTGCACATGGCCTGGCACAAGCGTCGTGGTGACATCACCACCACTTCGTGGCGAATGGCGGTTGTTGTTGTTGTGCTAATGAGTCAATAAGCGAGTGTGTGGGCGAATTGGTGAGCGAGTGAGTGAGTGGATGAATGATTGTGTCGGCGACTTGGTGAGTGAGTGGGCGAGTGGATGGGCGAGTGGGCGAGTGGGCGAGCGAGTGAGCGTCCAGGCGAGTTTGCGTGTGAGTGGGGGGGGGGGGGGGGGGGGGGCGACACGGAAAGGACGGGAGACACGTTGGACGAGTGGCCCGGCGTGTGGGCGAGTGGCCCGGCGTGTGGGCGAGCGTGCGCGGGCGAGCGACGGGGAGAGGGCGTGTCTCACGCACCCGGGGGTCGTTGTCGACGCGCGCACGCAGGTCGTGCAGCAGGTGGTTGTTGGCGCCGCCGGTGCGCTCGTTGGCGTACACGATGCGATCCAGGTCCGGGAAGTTGCGATTGAGGTCCACTCCCTGGGCGTTGTTCCGTCCCAGCAACCAGTCCTTGTCCGGGCCGTCCTGGGCAGCGCGCGGGGAGACGCCGATCGTCATCATCGTCATCATCAAATTACGATCACTCTCTCACCCCATTTCCAGAAGCAGTTGCAGGGTTGTCTGCGAGTTTACGAGACGCTCCGGAGGCTACGGCCTCGTCCCTCCTCGCTCGCACCACGCGCTTTGCTGTTGCTTTGTGTTTATTCGTTTTGTTGTTGCTGCTGCTGCGGTGGTGACCTTGGGTGGCTCCTGCAAAATGAGGCTCTTCTATCCTGGCCTCTACAGTTCTCACCGGGGTTGAACAAACTCAACTAGAACAGTCTCCAATGCTCTCTCGCTCACTCACCCACCCATCTACTCTCACCCTCTCGCTCGCCCACTTACACTCGCCCACTGACCCTCTCGCTCGCCCACTCACCCTCGCCCACTCATCCGCTGTCACTCTCTCACTCACCCACTCTGGCTCACTCACCTGGCTGGCGGCGAGCTCGAACCCGTCGGGGTTCATGCTGGGGATGATGTGGATGCGCGTGGTGTGCAGGAGGTTCACGATGGTGCGGTTGCCACGCTTGTACTCGGCGCACAGGTACTGCGCCAGGTTGATGAGCAGCTCACGCCCCACCGCCTCGTTGCCGTGCATGTTGCCCACGTACTTGAACTCTGGCTCGCCTGTGGTGGGGGGGGGACACGGGGGGTGGGGCCGGGGGGGGGGGCACAGCGGCGGGCATCGTCAAGGGCAGCCAGGCTAGACTGGACATCTGTGAAAAAAAGCTTTATATTGAAACTGTGATTTTGGGGGTCACGTGCAGGTCACGGAATACCGCCACGCCAGCCCGCCAAACTCGTGCCGGACAACACCGCGAGAGATCTAATGCCGTCCGGACACGCGCATGGCGAGTGTCGCACGGTCGACGCGCCCCGCAACATTAACCGGGGCGGCCTGCCGGATTCGAACCGCGAGCCTCCACCGCCCAGCGGCGAGGCCGCTCCCCCTTCGTGCCTCCCCCCCGCCCCCCAGTAGCCTACTCCTGGGGCCGGTTGAACGTCCCAGCCAGGACGGTGTCACAATTCACGACGTCAGGTTGGGGGGGGTGGGGGGGGGGGAGCAGGAGCCACACTCGCGCCTCACTGCTCCAAGGCCCCGGAGGTTCGATTCCCGACTTGGGTGCCTTTCCGCGTGCAGTTTGTGTGTTCTCTCTCGCTCTCTCTCCCCCCACTATTCCGCATGGGTTTTCTCCAGTTTCTCCCGTTTCCTCCTCCCATAGATAAACACACACACACAAAGAGTGACAGGGTATTGTGATGAACAACACCCCGTTGCTGAAGAAAAATCCTGCAAATGACTCCACCGTCACAATCTTTATTTATTATGAAGGAATCCGATGAGCGATAAAAAGCTTTTTCACGGATGTCCAGACTCAATTGGGATCACACAACAGCAGCAGCAATATTGCCCCCAATTTCCAAAAAAAGATAAACCAGGTAAAGCCTGCTGAGCTATATAGCTCATTCAAGTGGCTTATCACGTGGAAATGTATATCAGGCAAATACTTTAAAGGCATGTTTCTAAATGTGGAGGGAAAAGTCGCAGGCCTGGAGAAAAATCCACACGCTCATGGGGAGAACATGCAAACTCCAAATATACAGCAGGCGTCAGGGTCGGAATCGGGATTGAACCCACGACCTCCTGTATACCCAGCGAGGTAGTTAACATCTCGCTACCGTGGAAAAGCATGGCAGCGACGCTCCTGACAAAGAGCCGCAAAGCTCGAGCGAGGCTTTCCGGCGTAAACAAGCGAAATTCGCTCACAACCGGCAATTTCTACAATGGGCCAATTTTGATGAAAATGCGACAAGCGTCGCAAAACGCCGCAAAACGCCGCGGCGTTCGACGCCGCTGCACCTCGCGCCGCACTGGCGCCGTAGACGTAGGGGGCGCGCGAGCGGTGGAATTCCATCACTCAGCGCCCGCCAGGATGTGGCGAGTCGATAATCCCGCCTGCGGCCACACAGCCAGACGGACTGACCGCGCCACGGCTGGAATTGCAGAGCTGGGCCTGGTCTGTCCGGGGCAGGGGAAGGGCAGGGCATGGGCAGGGAGGGGGGGGCGCAGGAGCGGCGTTGGATTTCTGCAGGAAGCGCGGGGTCGGTGGCTGCGGGCTGCGCGCCGCGGGAGGTCGCGCTACTCAAACGGAGCGTTGCCCGCACGGACGTCCAGCGGCGCCAGGGAGAGGGGTCCAGCGATAACCACATGGCGGCGGCGGCGATGGTGGTTAACCCCAACCGCCCCCGGCAACCCACTGCCTGGTTCAATTGCCCACTCGGGATCTCCCCTGCCCAGTTCAATCCCCCTCTCTCCTGTGTCTGGCACCACCATCAGCACCACCAATACCAATCCCTGCCATTCGCCACTAAGTGATGGTGACATCACCACGGCGCCTGTGCCAGGCCAGGTGCACTTTGAGGCCACGTGAAGTGTCGAAGCCTTGCTGACGGGAGGTCACGGGACAGACCCAGGTGCCATTGGTTGGCTGACTGAGATGACCAGTAGATGCACCAGCTGTGCCCCCTACTGGGCCAACTTGCTGTATTTTAGCCACCCGGCGCTCCGCTCATTCTTGTGAGCGTCGCTCCTCTGCCCTCCATTGTTGCTGAAAGGCGACTGCCTCCAACTGCCCAGTAGCATCCTTCACCAGCCTCCTCTAAAAAGGGTAATCTTGACACTGCTGGTTCCAGCCATCAGCAAGTCCACTCAGGGCCACATCCTCCTGTACCGCGTCAGTCGGACTGACCGACTGATCAGAACCACCACCATCATCAGCACCACCACCGTCACCGCCAACATCACCGCCAATATCACCATCAGCACCACCACCAACGATGTGCGTTGGTGGTGGTGCTCACCGCCGAGTAGCTAGGAACCCTGCGTGGCCAGGAGCTGCCAAGTCCCGGCGATCATGGAGGTGACGCTGAGCCAGGGCGAGCGCCGTAATTGCACGCCGGCGCCGCGGAGCGTGAGCGGGGCATTCCTCACCCCCCCCTCTACCCTTAGGGTCACGGGCGATCGAATTCTGGCAGTGGACGCTGGCCACTTTCCCTCGCCCCCCCCCCCCCCCCCCCCGTGGGCAATCGACCACCGGCCATGCTCACTGCGGCTCGGGAAGGAAAGAAGCCATGAGCTGCCGTGCCCCTCCGCACCACCGCATTACCGCATCACCACTCTACCGCATTACCACCCCTCCGCACCACTGCTCTCCCGCCCCTCCGTATCCGCACCACCGCATCACCACTCTACCACATTACCACCCCTCTGCACCACCGCACTACCGCCCCTCCGTATCCACACCACCGCACCACCACACTACCGCTCTACCGCCCCTCTGTACCACCGCATTACCGCACCACCACTCTACCGCATTACCACCCCTCTGCACCACCGCACAACCGCTCTACGGAACTACCGCGATGCAGCCCCTACACCGCACACCCCCCTGCTCCCGCCGGCGCTCGCCGTTGACTCGAAGCCGGTGAGCCAATCGGACGCGGGGAGCGTGCCGAGCGCTCGGCCTATGCCATGGTGGCTAGGAGATGTGAACTACCTCGCCCGGTATGTAGGAGGTCGTGGGTTTGATTCCGACCTCGAAGCCTGTTGCGTATTTGAAGTTTGCGGCGTCTCTCCTCTCCGTGGCTGCGTGGATTTTCTCCGGGTCCTCCTGTTTTTCTCCCCACATTCAGAGTCAGCACGCGCTCAGAGTATCTGGCTACGATACATTTCCACGCGATAAGCAACTTACGTCGACCTGTCATTTGTGATAGCCAGGTCAGTGGACCTTACATGGTAAAAGTAAAATGTGTTTAGTTTAGTGGGCCTCGCGGGGCCACAGCCAATCACAGTGGTCCCAGGTGACGAGGCCCTCTCCCAACTCACCGGCTCAACCACCTTGCTCGCCCACTCACCCACTCATCACCCGCTAATCCACAAACTCTCTCGCCTGCTCACCCACCTCAATTGCCCGCATGCCCGCTAACCCACAAACCCGCTCACCTATTCACCCCACCCACTCTCTCACCCGCTCACTGACCCTAATCGCCCGCATGCCCCTAACCCACAAACCCGCTTACCCCTTCACACCAAAGACAGAGATCCCCCGTATAGCCTGAACAGACTGTTGGGGCAAGTGCTGTGAGCGAGCACCTATGAAGGCCGGAATGACACACGAGGGGGGTGGGTGGCCAGTGCCACGCAGGACCGCCTTTGTCTCCCCAGTGGCGATGTTTACACACCACACCAGGTACTCAATTGAGGCCGAGTCGACCTAGGAGAGGCCCAGGACCGGTTCAGATAATCGTCACTGGTGTTGGCCGTGAGCGGGCATTGAACCCCGGGTCGCCAGGTTCTTAGCGCAGCGTAGCGCTAACCGCTACACCACCGCTCACCCATTCACACCACCCAGTCTGACCACTACCGTCTCTGAGCTCCTCCCTCTACTCCCTCACCTCCACTCCGCTCCCTCTCCCACTGCCGATAACGTCCCCGCGCGTCAGAAAGACGCCGCCGAGAGGAGAAGTGTAAACAGGAAAGGCCCTTCGGTCTCAAGACACTTCCTGGCGATTGCGGCGACGCGCGCCACGCAGAGGAGACTATCCAGCAACGGGAGTACGAATACACGAGCAAATAAGCAGCGAATGCCAACAATCATGCGCCTGGTAAATCCATCACGGGTTTTACCCGGGGGTAGGGGGGGGCAGTAGAGGGGGGTGGGTGGGTGGGTGGGGGAGCCGCGGGGTTTTTTTTTGCCATGTTTTGCTGGGACCGTCTGTTTCCAATCACTCGCGAAAATTCATCCGTGTAGGAGCGCCTCTCGGCGTGTCCAGGAATAGCCATCCAATGGCGTTACCGTGCCCCCCCCCACTCCACCAGAGCTCTGTTTACCCTGCCCCCCCCCCCGGCGATTACATCACTGACAGGGCCTCAAAGTCCCTCCCCCGCCGTGTCCGTCAAACAATGGCAAGAGACAAAACGACCGCCGCCGGTAACGAGTGACGCTGCTCGGCAACTCCGCGGCGCAAGACGCCAACGTCACCGTCCATGCTCGATCCACTGCTGCACGAGCAGGCAGTCGAGCAATTGTACCCCCCCCCGTCCGCCGCCACCGCTCCCCCCACATATTAGTGAGCGATTCAATGGATTGGGCCGGTTTCAGTTGATTTTATCGAGTGCCGCGAAGAGGGCACATCGCCCGCAAGGTCGTCACGCGGCTTTGTTGTTGTTGTTGTCGTCGTTGTCGACACGGAACACGTCCAGCTGTCTCGCGTTGGCTGTGCTCGTTCACCGCGTGCCTACGAGAGGGTGGTGTGGCTGGGCCCACCACCACCACGTCCGGCCGCCTTTGTCTCATTTGAGGCCGAGTCGACCTAGGGGAGGCCCAGGACCGGCTTAGATAATCGTCACTGAATCGCCGGGTTCGTGGCGCAGCGTGCTAACCACGACACGACCGCTCCCCACACACGCGCACAAACACGCGCACAAACACACGCATCCCCTATTACCGCCCACACAGCTAATAGCATCACAGCCTCATGAGTGACAACCACGTCCAACTGTACGGCGGCACAAGGAGCTCGCGGTTGCCTGGCGACCCCCATCCATTTTGGGATTTCACG